AACTGAGAAAACAAGTACACTCCTAAAAAACTGGTCAGAGAGACAGAAGTGAATGCAGCTGCTCCATAGCCAACGTAGACTTCATTCCAGCAGAGAGGAGCATCCAGTTCATACAATGTAAAAAGGGAAGTCCCACCAATCATGGCAAAGAAATAAGACATAAATGCAAAAAGCAACACAGTGATTAAAATTCGTTTTTTACAAGAGGAAGTTTTAAAAAGCATGTACACTCCAGAAAACGTTTCTTTAAGGCTGTCTTTACAAGATAATGCGGCATGTTGCTGGGATTCAGATACATCCACAGTCTCCTTCAGCCAAAATATAATATAGAAAATATTAATACCGTGAAGCAGAGATGCAATTGTAAACGTCCATGTAAAGCCTATTCCTCTGATGAAGTAGCCCGAGGACAGTCCTGCTAACCCAGACACAAGTCCCAAAATCAAATCAATTACAGCTATGCGTTTAGTTTTCTGCTTCTCATCATGACATAGATCTGCTATGAAGGCAAACCCACCTCCAAGGAAAGTGGTCATGCTTCCAAACAGTCCACTAATGAATGCAAGAGCAAAAAATAGAGAGAGAGTCCAGGAGAAATATGACAAGATACTGTAGAAAACATTTGTCATAAGAGCTCCCAGGGAAGGCAGAACCAAAGCTCTTTTGCGTCCATAGTGATCTCCATTAGCTACAACTATAAAGGCAACTATAATGCTGGGAACTGCCCCACTTAAGTCCATTTGCAAAGAAAAAAGGGAGGCCTTTTGTTGGACTTCCTGCAAAAAAAAAAAAAAGAAATTAATGACACAAAGCAGTTATATGTCCAAAATCTGCTGCTGTAACATTTCACTCTGTCTGCCTTCCCTCAGTATTAATTGCTGTTATAAAAGCAAGATGCTAAAACCCTTATTCACAAGAAGTCCTTGCTTCCTGAGTAAACCCAAGGGAGTCAAAAAGACTATTCCTATGAGTAAGCATTTGCAAGATAAAGCACCACAACCCTGCAACACAGGAACAAGGGGTCCTCCCTACTTTTACTGAAGTCAGGGGCAAACCAAGCACTTCTTACAGCCAGATTCTGATTCCTATAGGGAGTAATACCTTTCTTCACAGAATGACAGTATTGGCTACTTATTGATCAACGTGCAAACCAGCGCAAATAAGGAGATCAGGATGTGTACCCAAAGGGAATCTTACACAGCCCAAAATAATGTATTTTCTCATATACAACATACCCCATGGGGGGGAGGTGCATGATGTATGAGAAATAAAGTATTTTACTTTTCAGTAAAGTTCCACACATGCATATAGTGCTGTTCAGGATTGTGAGGGTTAGTATGTTTTTTTTATTCAATGTCTCCTCAGCGTGTATTATTTTTTATGGACACAGCACTATATGCACGTGTGGAACTTTACTGAATAGTAAAATACTCTATTTCTCATACATCATGCACCTCCCCTGCCATGGGGCATGTTCCTACTGTTCAGGATTGTGAGGTCTTCCTAATGAAGTGAAATAGCTACAAAATTCATCCAATACGTAAATCTCTTTGCAGGCACTTGGCTACTTTTTTAAAGATAAAAAATAAACTCTTGGGTTTGGAAAATCTCAAAGTCACTAGCAAGAAATATTGCCACAGGTATTTACATAAGGTACATTAGCTGCATTATGGCGATAAGCTAACAATAACCCTGAATGGAAACTTTTAGTTTAACTCTTACTAAATTTGGTTTAGCAAGAGTTAAAAAAAACATACTTCACAGACATAATGTATTTATTTATCATTAAGAGTAGTTGGGTTAATAATTAAATCAGGTTTGAAGAAGGAAAAAAGGTCACCACATCACATGCAAAGTTATTTTGCACATGATGCTAGTTGATAATCAAAGTGATACCCACCTCTCAGATTCAGATCTTGATTTTAATTTATTTTATTAATTTATTTACAGAAGGGGAGTCACAACAACAGCTGGAAAGGAAGCAGCTTGCTCAGTCAAGATAGCTGTGATAGGAAGGAAAGTGGCTTGATCTGCATAATATATATCATGGTCATTCCACAGAATACAGTTAATAGTGTGGGAAGACCCAGGCCACTTCAGAAGCTTACTTGGAGTTTTTCTGAGGTATCACAAGTTTTCTGGGCTAAAATTTGTCAACCCACAGACAGTAGGAGGCATAGCTGCCCAAATCCACCCAGGATGTTCTAAGATCCTGAAATAAGTCAGTAACGCAAGAGGTATCCATGGAAGGCTGAAGCGTTCACACACACTGCTCCCTGAACTCCCTGTCACTCTGCCATATGGCAGTATGGTTACTTCAAAGGTTGTGTTGTCACTGCCCTCCACTGCCTGAACCACTGCCACTGTGAGGGGATTGGATATCATGGAGTGAGAAGTTTAAATGGAGAATGATAGTTTAGTTTCTGGCATCTTCACTAGTGACAGATTCTCGGACAGAGTACTGGGTTTCATCCTTTGATGCTGCACCTGTTTGAGACGAGGGGAAGCTATGGC